GAAAATAAACCTAGTAGTTATAGCTGGTGAAAAAGATAATTCTAGAGGGGCTATGCTGCCAATCCAAGAGGCAGAATATCAGACATTTAACTTGGGAAATAAACCTACTTGGAGAAAGGTATAATGACAAATTATAGAAATAAAAAATTATATTGTTCAACTTGAAATAGATAAGGAGAATATAGCAAATGATTTAGGGTGTCATATGAGCTGTCATCACCATCAGAAAATAATGGAAAAAAACTAATTTTACATCCTTATCTGAATAAACAGTATATATTGCTAATACTTACCAACAAAACCAAGCAATGTACTGTTAGGGTTGTGAGATTTAATGGCACTATGAAGACCCCAAATAACATTATGTCCTCCTGGAGATTGTCTCCCACAAAATACCACACCAACCCTGCAACAAGAAGGTCGGCTGTTACATGGAACATGCTTTGAGTCGAAGAAATTGCTTACTGCACCCAAGCGTAAAGAAACCACAACAAAATAGACTAATGACCATTCCAACATAATATTACCTAATCAAAATTTTTCTTAATTTATCATTGGATTGTTCTTTGAGAAAATCCTTGGATAGACTAAAAGTTTCACCAAAATGTATTCTCCTAACATATTAAAACACATAATTCTCTAGAAAGGTTCCTTTACTACTAGATGCATATTATAAAACCATGGGACAGGAAGTCACATACAAAAGTTCAAAAAAATGTCATATAGATCTAAGAAAAAAAATTTGGATTACATACATATAAAAAAAAGAATAATTCTCATGGAATATGCCAATTAAAATTAGATAAAAACAGAACCGAATGATGAATGTAGACCTTATAGCCGGTTGCTCTACTATGATCTGTGCATCAGGAACTTTGGCTGTTGGCCTTAAAAAATGAGCCAAAGGTTGCCCATATGTGTGTGGGAACGCTTGGCTTATGACATGTGCACCAGCAGGATCAGATGTGGTTGTTGCATCACCAAACTCAACTCTGACTGTCGTGCCCTGTTTAAGGAAAAGGCAAGAGTAATCTCTCAGAGTCAGAAGATTAAAAGACAAAGAAATATGTTAGACAATAGTTAAATATCAAAAGTTGCACAGACAAATACAAGCAACAAAAAGGACCCTGCATCATTGTTAAATATAGAATTGTAATTTGGCAGAAAGTCTAAACCAAGAGATGAGGGGTCGCCCAAAGAGCCTAATCCAACAACCACTCCCTAGTACCAGGTATTTTAGTCCCAACAATATTAACAACATGAACGGTTCACTATTTTGTCCACCTCAACCATTTATGTCAGTCCCATCAAGCTATTGATGGGCCAACCTTGTCACTATTTAAGAGTCGTCCAATCCTTGTTCATCTTCACACATTGAGATGGATCTCCATGGACAGTCCATTGGGTCAGCCAACCTCGAAACAGATAAATGAGGCATATAAAAGGATTGTCTGGGTAATACATTGACACTAAAATCAACTATATTTACTTTTCCCAACCACCATTTGCTAAGCATTTGTGTCTCTCCCTATTAAAGGTTTGACTCGAGCATTGAAGACCACCTTGGGCCAAATCCTGAGATCTTTTATATCCTCTTGCATGTCGGATTTTTGACCCTCAAGGCATACTCAAAGCAGGTGCTTGGCACTCCGAGCAGTTATGTACTAACATGATAGAAGCTTGAGGTAAAAAGAAGGGTCACATTGGATCTGATTTTCACGTCGACTGGGCGACCAGAAAGAGCATCGCCATCAAGTATTGTTTAGTTGTCTGAATCCACCAAAGTATGGTTTCTAATGAGTGCTACCACGAAATTGAGAATGTACCTTTTCAAGTTCAGATCAGCCAATGTTGTATACTAATTCGTAATGAGGATTCTAAAAATTTAATATCAAGAAACTGAGGACCTCATCTTTCCAGTTTCTGGTAGCAAGTGTTTTCATAATGAAAATTGTGAATATATGATACCATCAAACCGCAGAGACGCATGATTCTGATGGGATTCAATTTAAGCCAAACATCATTCGCCGCTAAAGAAATGCGATCTTACCAGCGTACCCTTTAAAAGGTTCTATTAAAATCGGAGGTAGAAGGAACCACCGTTTACGTTTTATGTTTCAGCAAATCTCATCCTGTAGATCCTCAGTTGGGAGACGAACTGAACCAACACCCATGTGAAAGTCAACTGTTCCTGAGAATCCTCTTCAGGACTCCATGAGAAATATTTTTGCCATCTCCCGCATCAGGCCATGAACCCCACCAACCCATGAAAACCTGTTCTTGGAATAGAATAAACAAGCCGAAAAAACGAAAACGACAAACAACAAAGCACAAATAGTCCTATGATAGACTCTTCGGCGTGCGACTTGGAGCTCACTCCTCGTATCCGCATTCGAGCACGTATAAGTGTGCAAGGAAGAGAGAGTTATAAGACAACAAACTCATCCAAACAAGAAAAGCATCACAAAGTTCCGATCTCCTAGACGCAATGTCTCAAATGTTGCAAACAACCAGAAACAATCCAGATCCGACCGGAATGAGCACCAAATGGGATAATCTAACACTTCACAGGGAAACCCTATCAATCAAAAGCATAAGGCATAGATCTCGGGCAAAGAAGCAAGGGAGTGGCAATGGCGACGATGAAAACCATATCAGAGGTCGGCGAAAGGTAGACCTGAACGCATGGAGGGAGCCCCGGCTGGTAGAGGGCGCGCAGCTTCTGGAGATCTGAAAGCTCTCTTAGGACGCCGTAATCGGAATCCATTCTTCCTCTCTCTCTCTCTCCCTCTCGTTCTCTCCGTCGCCTCTCCTATTATAGTGACGAGGATCATATCATAACAACGATTCTAACTATTGTCTCTCGGTCAAATCTCAAACCAGAGAACGATGCCTTCCCATTGGTTTCAGTAATTGGACCATCCGTAAGATATCCAATAAGAAGACGAATTTTACAAGTTGGTGGCTGAGCAGGGACAGGTGATTCAGAAATCACTTATCGAGTCTCGCCACTAAACCCTTGGCTCCAAATCTTCGGGAAAACCCCAGGTATTGGGAACTATTCACAATAGGGCCATCGACAAGGACTGGATGCTTATCAGAACCTCTTGAAAAGTTTTGGTGCAACCCGATTCTGTCCATACACGTGTCCCCCAGGAATGTGCCTGATCCATCATGATTTGGACGCGTCTGTCACTTTCGGGTTTGGGTATTGGTGTTAGCGGGTCGGATTCTTGGGTCCGATAGAATAGGAATCCAATGAAGCCAAAAATATCTTTAGCATAATATATATGAGAGTGAAAAAAAAATGCTTAGTTCTGTTAAAAAATATATTATCCAAAAAAATTGCTTAAAAATATATTTTTTAAAATACTTTTAACTTTGAATTTTAAATTTTATTTCTCAAATTTATCTTTTTTTAACAAATTTCATTTTTAATTAAACATTTTATTCGAATAGGAGTGAGAAACTCCTACATTTTAAAGGGTGAAAATGAAATGACAAATTCTCTGCCTTTCCTTCTTTTTTTTTTTGTTGCCCCACATTACTATATCTAATGAAAAAGATTTCCCATACTTAACATAAATCATACTGGTTATAATATTTTTGAATAAGGTTATGATATCCTTTACACATTCACAAAAATATTATAATCCTATACAAAAAAATGTACAGCTAAGAAACAAAAAACTCAATAATATATATACTATGCACTAACTTATATTTTTTAATAAGGTCTCAGATATATATATATGTCTTCATATTGGAATTTCTAGTGTTTTTGCAACGCATATAAAAACACTGTGACTCTTAACATTTTTTGGTTTGTCAGTTGAAGGTATTTTAGGATATTGACAAATAAGATAATGATCAAGAAAAATAAAAATGAGAGCTACCAACATAGAAAA